TTTTTTTTTTTCTCTCTCGGTTGCAGAAATAAAATGGCTATCGACGACCTACTAAACGAAACAGAGAGTAACCGCGATGGTGCCGAGTATATTTGGATTATCAAACTTTTATTGCCTATCGCCGCTATCGTTTCGAATAGCTTGCGGGAATGTTCGAGCGTGGCGGAGCTAGATACCGTTTGAAAATATATTTCCAGCGAGTCGAATGCACCTGTATGAGTAAATATTATTATTACCATTTTTAATATATTTAATAACTGTCAATTTATAACATAATTCAATTTACAATCTAATGATTCTTAATTTATAAATAAAGAGCTGACCGATATATTATTGGTCAATTTAATATACAGAGTGTTTAAGAAACAAACTTTGAGAGCGTGTAGTCGCTCATCGAAGCGAGTAAAAAAAATCTTAATAAACTATTTTTCTCGACAGAAACTTGTACACAAACTTGTTTTCTCATAGAAGCACGCATACGTTGAATTAACACGACTAAATTTACATTTCTTTCAACTCATTCCACACGAAGAAAATTATAAGTAGAAGAAAATCTAATAATTCCGAAATTAATGGTTTTTGACCCATTCGTTTATTAAGACCTCTTTGCTTGTTTTGATGAGCACCAATTTTCTTAAACACTCTGTACAATAAATTTAAAAAATTTTTCACAAGGCAGTAGACTCTTTCCTTTCTTTAAAGATTTAGTCAGAATGGCGTGAAGCAGACTTTAAGTCTCGGTTTAATCCTCAACATTCAAGAACGTGAAATGCTAATGCAAGGGATCTTGGTTTTCTGGTGACTTCCACACCTTGTGAATTTCCAACCGTGTTATCGACAAATTGAATCAGGAATATAGATTCCTGGGAGGGTGTCGGCATTGCAAAAGAAAGCAAACGAAGAAGCTACGTACGCAAAGGATTAGGGTATGAAATTTGGCGACAATCCAGAATTTACCCGAAACCGCACTCTGGAATTCAAGGCCTCCTCCGGTTCGACAAATTAAAGCGCGTTTCACTATTTGTTGTTCCAATATTGGATCCAACCGAGAAACTGTCGAAGTTACACTATATATAAGTTCGGAACTTTAGAGTCGATAATGCAGTTATTATTTCTATTTTTTGTGGGACAATTTCTTCTGGAAATTTGAATGAAATGAATACTTTTTATTTTTATTCTGTACACCAAAAGCGAGAAACTTATGAATTAAAATGACGTAAATTTCATTCAAAAATGAAAAAAATTTCATTGCCAACATATCATGCACAAAACTGATTCCTTTTTATTTTCTTTAGCTCAAGTCAGTTAGCTTCAAATTACATTCTTTTGAAATTATCTTTTCAAAAAATATCTTTATGTTTCTTCTTGTCTATCTAACCTCGTTGCACTCGGGCTTCATTTCAGCGAGCTTTACAAAAAGATCATTGAAAATATCGCGTACGTAATGATTTGTTTCGAAATTCCTTTCGTTTTGCACTCCACTCTCTTGAAGTTTGATCCGAGGGAAAACAATTTTATCACTTCTTAGCGAGCGTAAATCACGCTCGTAACAGAGGAAACCTGCCGTTTCCTAGAATATATAATCTGCTGCCCACGTGTGGTTCTGATTTTGCGAAAACAATACTACGTATCTGCTACCAACTGACGAAACACACAAGCATTAAACACCACCCACATCTGTTGCAGCATCGCGAGCATGATGTCACTGTTTCACATCCTCGTTGAATAATGCATGACCGCTTAAAAATGGGTCACCGTAAACAAATCATCGCTGACAACACAATAAAAGCAAGATACTCCCAGAATTTTTTTTTAACATTTTTGTTCTTTTTTTTTCAACTGAAGCAACAAACTACGATCCTCTTCTTCGACGGACATGTCCAAGAAGACTTTAGTCAAGACTGAACCTGAAGTGTCGAGGAGAAAAATCAAAGTGACTTGTGCTCCGAAATAAAACTCCTCTCCCAAACCAGAGAACCAAAGTCACGTACGAGGGAAAGTATCTACAATGCTAACTGACTAAAACGACGGCGGGAGAAACAAAGAATCGAAGTGTACGCGATCGGGCGCTGGCAAGCCTCCAAGATTGACAGAGTTTTATCTGGATGTTCTTCGACCGAATAGACAACGATTCGTATTAAACACTCTCTGAAATTTGTGCTACGTACTGAAAATTGTACTACGTACTGTTGAAATTTTTATAATAATCTCGACAACAATGTCTCTCACCTCGTAGTAGTCTTTGGGGTCGCTGAAATTTGTACTACGTACTGCCGAAATTTTTATAATAATCTCGACAACAATGTCTCTCACTCACCTCGTAGTAGTTTTTGGGGTCGCTGAAATTTGTACTACGTACTGTCGAAATTTTTATAATAATCTCGACAACAATGTCTCTCACCTCGTAGTAGTCTTCGGGGCCGGTGAAAGCTTCCTTGTGGACCTTGAGCTTGAGCACGTGGCCAACCGGCACGACGACATGAGGGATAACGCGCTCATTGTCGAACTGATGCCTCTTCGTGTCGTCGGAGTATTTCTGCTCGTACCAGTTGGTCTTGATGACCGTGGCTGCGGTGCTGGTCGTCTCTTCGCCGACGTCGTCGAACACCAGGTCGTCCTCCTGCAGTGTGAGGCCCAGCAACGCCGTGGGCAGCAGCAGGAAACACGCGAGGAAATAAGGATTCTTCATCTTGCGGGGCAGCTCTCCTTGATCGTTGCTATCATATCATGCTGAAGTGCCTAAAATTAGATAATAGAATACTCGTTAGTGTAAATTGAGATATTTCTTTTTTCCATTGGGATTTCTTACACGGATCTTCCACCAGCATAAGAACATTCAATTAAACTCAACAATAGAATACTGTCAGTGTGAGTTGATCGATGGTGGAAAAGTAAAAACATCCTTTTCTTTTTTTTAATTGGAAATCTTACAGATCTTTTAGTATAAAGTGAAATCAAATTTGACAGTAGAACATTGTAATTGATTATTGATGGAAATAATTGCTTTTTTCACTGGAATTTTCTTATACAGATTTTCCACCAGTATAAAATTAAATTAAATTAAACAACAGAATACTTGTTAGCGTAAGTTGATCGTTTTGGTGGAAATAAAATATTTCTCTCTAATCCTAATATTATGAAACAGGATTGAAGTAGTAACATCGGAATCTTTTAATCTCCCACAAGCATGTCGTTGAGCTAATTACTTGGAACATTCCTCGGCAAAAAATATCCACTGTTTTTATGGAAAAAGCTCGATCGCTTTCTTTTTCTTCGATGAACGAACCGTTTACATCATCGCCGTAATCACTGTTGACACATTGTTTTTATCTTATTTATTCACTTATACTACTAGCGAGCATATACTAGAAAAAGGCTTAACTGGAAATTGATAAAACCAACGAAATCAGCAGAAATAACCCAGCTCAATGAACATCCCCACTACGTGCAATGTAAAAATAGCCGTGATAACAGCGATTCGATATGATATAAAGGATCACGTACGAACGATGTGACACTACCGTTCCATGTTTGATGCCTCATTAAATACCGTCACGCGTTGTTTAATCATGTTGAAACAAATTCGTGTTCATCACGCAACCGCGCCTTATCGGAAACAATACATTCACAAACGTGTCCAGCAAAATTTTATACCACTGCGACGTTACGATTATATTTATTTATTTGTTCGTCAATTTTACTATATGCTGACAAAGAATTACACGGAGACGTTTTTTTTTTTTTTTTTTCCAAATAAAAAGAACAAAACATGAACACCTGTTCGATCGATCGGCTGTTCGCGCGTTAATCGTTTCCTGATCGATGAGGACTAACCGGTGAACGATCGAACGATCCGTAGACCGTACTTCTCAGCTCGTAAATCATTGGGTTCTTGCTCTTCCATTGATCCAGTTTTGTCGCTGGTTCCACGGGTATTTAACGAAAGGGACAATAGAACGTTTTCGCGAGCGAGAACGAATGGATCCAGTAGTAGTTGGCCAATGATAGCCAATAAAGGCTTCCATGGCATTTTTATTTCCCCTTATTGCTAGGCCTGTCGAGGACCGTGCCATTAATTGGCGCAGCCGAACAATGAAGAGGCTCACAGTTAAGTCGGCGCTGCTCGATGCTTCCAGGGATAAATACACATTGACTGGGATCGTCGTGATCCCTTTCGCTCCAACAAATATTGCATTGTACATTATAAAACTTCGAGCCCATAAATTCTCACTGAATTGCTCCTACGTATCGGGCAATATTAAGACGAATTTCTCTCGTCGTAATATTCTCAAAATCGAAGGAACGTTTAATGTCGTTTTTTTTTTTTTTTTCAAATCTAAATTTAAATTTTATTTACTTCAAAATCATCCTCACTTTACAAAAAGGGAATAGAAATTTTGTCAGAGAGATGGGCGAAGAATGTCGATGGAAGTTATATTATAGATTAAAATTGTATTAACTCTGAAACAAAATAAAATTTCGTACAGTATTGAAAAACGACTTACTTATATACTTATGGGTGTCCCTTATATTTACCAAAATACAAATGATCTACTAACTGTGTCAATAAAAATTGTAAATATTTTAAATAATTTATAACTTTGTGAAAAAAAAAGATCATAATTCACTTGGTCTCATTTTAAAGAGCGAAGCTTCTATTTTGATTCTCTACTGTGAGTTCGTTTCTTTTGAAGATGAGTTTACATAACGTGATGAGAGTGGGAAACTTGGGACATATTTCTCTCGAAAATTGTGAAAATTCAAACATGTGTAAAAATATTAAAGATTTCTTCTCACGACTAGATCCACCATCATTCTCAAGTTTCTCCTTCACAACAATTCTGTGAAACTTGTTCTACAATATTTTCTTTACTAAATTCAATAAAACGGTGAAAAAATCGTACAGCTAATCTCGAGAGATTGTCGTAAAGAAAAAATTTCGATTTTCAAGATCATGCTTCAAGATTCACGTCTAAAGAAAAATTTTTCGACGTTCTCACACGCGTTTTGAGTTTTCACAATTTTCGCGACAAATCTGTCCTCAGTTTTCCACTCGCTATGTAATATAAATTCATCTTCGAGAAGAACAAATTCACGAATGTCGAAGTATAAGCTTCACTTTAAGCTTTAAAAGGAGATCAAGTGGATCATTATATGATCTTCTTTTACAAAGTTACATCAGTTTATCGACAATTTTTCATTGTCATTGGTAAAATTATGCTCTTCGTTGCAAGTACACGTAGTGCTAAGTATACATTAATATTAATACTTGAGATTGAGATGTGATCCGCAGGATTGTGACACGCGTTCTACTCCATCGCAACGATATACCCTGACCCATTTGCGACGCACCTCTGACCCTCGTCTTACTTTATCGCAGTAAACTTGCGCGACGATTCGCGGCGATTTTCCAACAATGCAGCATTGTGAAACAGCCATGACTCGGATAGGATAAGCCTTCATCACTGTCATTCTTCACCAGTGAACTTTGAAAAAGAATGAGAAACTTTGAAAGCATCGATGATCGACTAATTCTAATTTAACGAGCAAATGAATCAAGCATCGCAATAAAATTGTCTATCGTTATCAAGCCAATTAGCGTTGACAGATTGGGTTCCAAAGTTCGATCGCTGAGCTATCGATTCGAAAGTCGTTCGATCTTTTTATGACTATTTAATCTTGCATTTTTCCTCTGCTTTGTCTCTGAATTTTCCACCGGAAAATGTTTCATAAATGCAAAGATTGCTAGTTAAGCCTAAACTACTAAAATGCGAGCAGAACTTTGAAAGTTTAGGTTATATTATAAAGTATGTAGAGCGAGAGTAACGATTTAGGTTAGGTTGCACAAAGTACGTAGAGCGAGAGTAACGATTTAAGTTAGGTTTAGGTTAGATTACAAAATATGTAAATGAAAGTGTGAAATGTAAATGTTTACACGTAATTGCGAAAGTGAAAATTGTTCCCATTTAATTTTCCAAATTCGGATTGAAAAATGTTTCACAAATGTAGATTGCAAGTTGAGCCTATTAAATTACTAAAATGTGCGCAGAATTTAGAAAGTTTAGGTTAGGTTGCACAAAGTACTTAGAATGA